GAATATTTTGTGTGTATTTATTCAATATTGAAAATCTTTACCAAAGTTCTTTTAGTTCTTTCTTTTCATCTATGTGTAGTTTCAATAAAGAAAGCGTGTTCCTATATACATATCGTTCTTTTAACTCACATAAGTTCTTTTTTATAAAAGCATTTATACAGTAATGGCCCTATATAGGTTTAGAAATAAAACCAGGAAACAATATAAGAATATACAAATATTATATAAAAAAACAATATAAGAATCCCTTTCACTAAACATAGAATATACCCAAACACTTCTAAAAGAAAGGTAGAGCCATACCATATACATTTCTATATTTCAATAATGGTGGCATAAAATTGATATCAAAAAACATAAAAAGAATAAGAGATCCTCTAGTTAAAAAAATATTTTTTAGGGGTTTGAAAGTTAGACAATATAAAAAACACTAAGTACCCAAAATATCTATTGCAGGAAATGGCACATTTCGAAGTCTGCATTTAGTCCATTAGGGATCAAAGTGTCTAGTTTGAAAATACACTCCATTTCACATTTACTCATTTTTACATCGAAATTGCCTCCTCTCCAATCTTTTTCCACTTTTTTGATCCCTAAAAAGGTGGTATCTTTAGTTTCACAGTTATGGTAGTTTTTGTAATGTAAAGATACGCTATGTTTTTCGAAACCCTTTGTAATATTTCGTCCATGCTCTTCTATTCTCGTATGTAGTTGTCTTGTGGTTTTCCCTATATATTTTAGACCACAAGGGCATATTATTAGATAAATAAGATTCTTTGAGTAGCATGTAATGAAATCTTTAATTTGGTATTCTGTTCCCTCTTTATTTGTATATGTAGTTATATGTCTTTTTTTGTTGGTAGTTCTCCTACATGCCAAATATTGGCCACAGCCGTAAAAACCTTTCTCTGTGTTAAATGGGTTGCCATTCTTTTGTTCTTTAATATAACTAGACGTGAGAGCAGTACGGAGGTTGCTTACCCCCCTATGTACAAAATTGGGTTTGTCTGGAAGGAAAGTTCTCGCTACTGGATCCTGAAGAAGAATAGGCCAAAATTTCGAAACTATTTTCCTCACCTTATGATTTTCCGTGCTAAAGTTACATATAAAAGGGACTTCTTTAAAACCTTTCTCTTTCTTTTCTTTATATTTTAAGACTGTTTCTCTCTATTTCTTTAACTTCTTTTCTAGCTTTTTCCAATTCCTGTTCATCATATCCTTTCTCTATAAAATCTTGTTTAATTTTATCTGATTGCGTATCGAACATCTCAAGATCAGTACAATTACGATGTATTCTGAGGAATTGCCCTCTAGGGGCATTCTCCAACCAAGGAGAGAAGTGGCAACTTTCTCTTTCGATATAACTGTTGGCCTCAACCGGTTTAAAATAATTTTTCGTTTTAATCCTATTTTCTTCTATATATATTAATAGGTCTAGAAAAACTACTTCCACTTTACTCCAATTGCTGGTAAGTTTAATCCCCCATGTATTGGTGTTGAGGTGATTTAGGAATAGGATAAGATCTTCCTCCTCTCCCTCCCAAATGAAGAAAATATCATCGATATAATGGCCATAGGTAACCAAGTTCCTCCCCCAGCTATGAGGGCCATAAATATAAGTATCTTCCCAATAGGCCATAAATAAATTGGCGTAGCTGGGGGCGAACTTGGTCCCCATGGCTGTCCCATTAATTTGGAGGTAGAACTCTTCATTATACCAGAAATAATTGTTTCTGAGGATTAATTCTATCGCTTCTAAGAGGTAACTTTCAAACCCCTAAAAAAAATTTTTTTCAACTAGAGGATCTCTTATTCTTTTTATGTTTTTTTATATCAATTTTATGCCACCATTATTGAAATATAGAAATGTATATGGTATGGCTCTACCTTTCTTTTAGAAGTGTTTGGGTATATTCTATGTTTAGTGAAAGGGATTCTTATATTGTTTTTTTATATAATATTTGTATATTCTTATATTGTTTCCTGGTTTTATTTCTAAACCTATATAGGGCCATTACTGTATAAATGCTTTTATAAAAAAGAACTTATGTGAGTTAAAAGAACGATATGTATATATGAACACGCTTTCTTTATTGAAACTACACATAGATGAAAAGAAAGAACTAAAAGAACTTTGGTAAAGATTTTCAATATTGAATAAATATACACAAAATATTCTGTTCTCCCTCTTCCCTTTATCTGTGGTGATGCCGGCAAAATTGAACCGCAAGCCGGAACACATTTGGAACGCAAGCTGGAACGCATGGATATGACGCGACGGCTTGCGATCGAAAAAACCGGAAGTGACGTATCGATAGTGCTACCCGGAAATGAAGAGAGAAAGAGGCTTGACACACAGGGCGTCACCATTCCCATGGTGATAGCCCGCGAAAATTCAAGCCGAAAAACAAGCATCTTCACCCCAGGAGGGGTACATATAGCAGGAGCCAGTGCAAGAAGGTACAGACTTTTTTTCACATCCAGCTGAGGAAGCCTAAACGGCGAAACGCATCCTGGAAACATTGTGAGCTTAAAGACTTTCTATTACTGGACATTTTATGCCATTATAGTGTTTTCTGTATACTATTATATATATATATTTTTTATATTTTTATTGTACTTAACTGTATATATAGTGAATAAAGCTTATATTTTTGAGAGACACTATTGGCATTCTCCTGCTATTACAAAAGAAGGAGTGTGGTCCTTAATCCACACAAACTATTGGATCAGAGCCGATGTGGATGGCTCTGGGTTTGTAAGTACCCTATTTCCCTTACTACTTGCATATACCTAGTCTACGTTACTGCACCAGAGGTATTTTCCTTTATACATTTCAGAATACAAGAAAGGAAGAGTTAAAAGAAGGGATAAGGGTCGCCTTTACGGACTCTGAAAGTGCTTCATTTGAGCTATACCTCTTTAGCTCCTAAAAGTGTGAGTGGGACCTTTGTATATTTCTACCACACATTTAAACATTACAGATTTGCACTATGTTTGGATCTTTCTGTTTATGTTTTAGGAAATTCCTATAAAGAATTATTGTGAATTACATATAAAAAGAAGGTATAATTTCAGTATTTTGGTGTTCATCACTTGGTATTATCTCTCCACTTTGGCCTATCTATTTACATATAGCGCTCACCCATACACCGGTTTGTACTACAATTTTGAAAGATAAGTTTGGGGTGTTATAGCAGCTAGAGATCAATAGTATTCCTGATATAAGTGTATCACTTTGTATTGAAATATTAGCGCTGGTACTTTCACCCTTTTTCCATTTGAAAAAAATAGCTTTAAAAAGCCCAGCTACATTTGAACGTTCAACAGTAGGCCACCAGCTGCATTAGGAAAACAATTCCAACAATTCTTAGTCCATTAACAGCTGGTGGTCAAAGGTTGGACATCTTTTTGTCTCCGTTGTTAAAATTATGATGATCCATTCATTCTAAAATACTTTTTTTCCCCCTGTCACTAAATATATAATCTTAATGCAGAGATTCACAAAAACCAGATCAGAACATTCACAGCAAACTACTCTTAAAACATTTTGAATGTAAATAAATTGGAAAAAAAATCATCACTTGTTATTACAGACACTTTAATTTTTTTTTCATTATTGAACCAGGGCTCATGTCATTGTTGATCTCATTCAGATATTGCATCATTTTTTTTTTCCTTGGGCTGTAAACAGTGTTATAACATCATTGACCAACTACCTACGGCAATGCTGTTAATTCAGATATAGATCTCATATGCTTAATCTAAAAGACTCGTAATAGAAGATTAGTAACTTGACCAGGTACTCAGATGACCCTGTTGAGTCAAAGTTGGGAAGTCAAAATTGGTACATAGGCAATGTATTATTTATAAGAAACATGAGCAAAAAAACAAACAAAAAAAACATGTTCCAGATGTGAATGCTTAAAAAGTTCTCAAAGCTACAGCACCAAGTACATCATTAGTTAAATATATATATATATATATTTTTTTTTTTTAAGTGGAAACCGACAGAGTGAAATAAAACATTCTTGTTATTTTTTATTGTACAGCTGCTGCATTATTATTTAATTACATTATTATATGCCTATTGTAGGAAAACATGCAGAGACACACTGCACACCAACATACACTACAAAATGTGTCTTTAAATGCAGAGTATGAGTCGTGTTTGGTCCTCTCCATAACGGGGACTGGTTTTGTAACTTGACTGATGGTTTCAGGATCATTTGCTAAACATGAGGATGAATGAGGGGCATGTTAACCTTTATCTGAATGTGACTTAGCTTGATTGGTTATCATACATAGAATTTAAAGTTCATGGTACAACAGAATTGCATGTGCAGAACCAGCAGGGAAGAGTTTATTACATGTGGGTTACCAATCACGAGAAAGCTTAGTGTTCTGGTCCCTTTTGGGAGGGGCTGGAGGTGGCCCCCTTCGTAATGTTGCATAGCCTGATAAATGGCTGCCTCCATAGCAGTTAGCTTTTTGATTGTCTCTTAGCAGTTCTGGAGGAGGAGGTGGCAGGACCATATCATCCATGGTGGCTGTAGGCTCAGGCCTTGATAACCGGGGAGATGACAATGAGCTATGCCTTGTAATGGATTTTCTCTGTAGAGTCTTGTTCAGGTCAGCAAGGAAACCTGGTTGCACACTAAGACTTGGCTTAGGTGAAGTTGGTGGTACTTGTAGGCTGACAGGGGTAGATGATTCTGTCACTTCTGCTTGCATCAGACGCATGCTGTCATTCCTTTTTGGTCTGGTGGGTGGTGGGGCTTTCTTTACAGAAGATTTTGACCATGTCTGGGGTTGTGGATTTACCACAGCCACCTTTGGAGAAGTATTTCCAGAAAACAAAACTGGTGGGCCATCTACAGGTGGTGGAGGTGGTGGCAGGAGCTCAAGATCTGCTGGTGAAGGTGGGAAATCGGATTCAGAATCAGACGGTGGAGATGGAAACTCGGTGACTGACACTTTTCCTGAACGCAACGTCCCAGGGACTTGGCTGGAAAGATTTCCTTGCTGAAAAAACATTGGCAAATTTACACCTGAAAGGTTTAGTTTAACTGGCTTTGGTGGAGCTGCAGGGGGAGGTAATGACTCATTTGATGGTGATCCTGGTGAGTCAGAGAACTTGCTGACTAGGCTGTCCACAGAGGATTTCTTAGATTCATGGTATTCAGCAGAGCTGTTCGATTTAATACTAGAATTGCGCTGGGGAGTGGGGGGAGGCTTCTTCCCGCCAGGACTGGATGTCTTGCTTGCCTTTTTTGCTTGGCGAACCAGTCTTTTCTGGTGATGGGGAAGGAGGTGGAACGGGAGATGTGGCAGGGGGAGGTGGAGGGGGTGGTGGAGGAAGAATTGTTAAGCTGCTTTCAGGTGGAGGAGGGGGGAAGTCAGAGGATGGAACTGAAAATGGCTGCCATTTTGGTTTTGCTTTCACAGCTGGTGGAGACTGTGGGGCAGAGATGGGAGTGCCTGGTTTAGGAGGCTGAGGTTCTGAAAGTGGTGGAGGTGGTGGTGGGAACTGACTTGCAATCAGCTTAACTGAAGGCATAGGGGAAAGTGGAGAAGATGGTGGTTTTGTTGAGAAGCTCTGCTGTTTTGGTAAGGTTGGAGGTGGAGTGGGAGCAGACATAACTGATGGACTCGTTGAAGATTGTTGCGTCTGTGAGAGTGTGAAATGAAGCTGCTTTTTGGGTGCAGTAGGAGGCCCCAGGGCTACAGACGCTGGTGGGGTGGCAACAGGCAGGGCTGGCTTGGAAACTGTCCCAAACTGTTTAATAGGTGCTTGGAATGGAGGAGGAGGAGGTGGAGGGGGAGGAGGTGGTGGTGGAGGTGGTAGTGGAGGTGGTGGAGGGGGCTGGGTAGCCTGGACAATGTTGTTTTGCTGGACTTGATTGATTTTCAGTGGAGGTGGTGGTGGTGTAAACTGAGGCATAGATGGTGTACATGGAAATGGTTTTAGCATTGCCATTGTTGAACCTGGTGGTGGAGGTGGTGGTGGTGGCGGCGGGGGCGGTGGAGGCGGGGATAGCCCCATTTGGGGTAACAATCATCTGATGCTTTGGTGGAATGTGTTGAACTGTGCTATTTGATGTGGGGGATTTAAAGGTAGGCCCTGGATATTGGGCAGCATTTTGTAATCTTGTGATGGTACTGTATTTAGCAAACAAAATTGGTGTGGACACAGAAGGACTTTTAGATTGGGTGGGAAGTGGAGGTGGGGGAGGGGGTGGAGGAGGAGGTGGCGGCGGTGGGGGTGGAGGAGGTGGTGCAAGGGGTGATGGCTGAGATGATGCATGAGGAGATACAGCCCTGATCTGGATGTGTGGCTGAGGAGTCAGAGAAACTAAAGGACGATTTAAGGTTTCCATTCGAGCCTAGAATATATAAAATAAAAAGCATTAGATATAGCTTGTAATATATACACATGCCACTTTGTACAAAACAATCAACAGTGGACATCACAAAGACAGTGGGTGAACACAAAAGGAGGTTTTCCAGAAATAACAAAATTCTTAATATATTATTTGCAGTAGCACAGTTGAATGGATATTACAACTGAATGTAAGTTGCGTCTTTGTAAAGAAAGGATTAAACTTCCCAGTGTTGCAGTAGCAATAAAGAAGTTAGAAAAGGCACAGCTTTAGAAAGGAAATGTAATATGCAGATCTCATCACCAACACCAGAATCCTGAACGCTGAGGAAGTGCATTGCAATAAAAAAATAAAAGTTAAAATTCCATATTTGGTGACATACAAGAAGACATTGGTTGGAAACAGACAACATGAGAGGGTAGAAGGTGTATGACAACAGACAATGCAGAGGTGAGAAGAGGCAAGTTAAGCAGGACATAGCTTTAAATTCCTACTCTAAAAAAGAATGCCTTGCTATTCAGTAATCAAAATCCTGTGCAGCCAGTTGCAAGAAAGGAAGCCTTCTGTGTCCTACTAGAAAAAGTTTATTTCTGTAGACTTTATTATATCTATATTCTTTGATACCTAAGCCTTAATTATAAAAGAGGATGGCCATCTAGGAATTAAGGCAGCGGACTGGATCCCCTTAAGGGGATATAACCTGTCTCTTAAAACACTATTGACAGTATTTGGTGCATATAATTGCGGACACTAAATTAGTATAAAAATGGGTAGAAGTCTGCATTAAATGCAGCTTTTCTCTACAAAATGTGGGTAGTACTAACATTACCACAATAACTTGGCAATTGGCAGCAATCTGCTTAACTTACATCTGACATACTAGAATTCCTGATTTTTGTTGGGATATGCAGTGGAAAGTTCTTTCATTAGCCCCTATATTAAGGATTTGACAAGAAAATGAAAAAACAAAGCCTCAAAACTGCAAGCCAAAAACATTACTGCTACAATAGTGTCCTGCCCTATGATCTAATTAGGCTAAAGCTTTACCTGATCCCCTTTTGTATTGAAAAAGTTATTAAAAAAAACAAAGAAAAGTAAAAAGGAAAGGTCTGCTTTTCGGCAGAGAAAAAACATTAACCAAACATAAGCCAGGGGGTTTGTGTTAATGTTTGTTCATGATTCGTTTGCTTTATTTTCAGGAAAGGATAAAGGATTCTTTAGAAAGTTAGTCTGGAGGATTCCAGTTAAACAACATCCAGGTTAAGTGTGTTTTTAGATGACCCCTGACCTTAATTCCGCCCCGTACAAATTGCTGTGGGCTTGATGGCCTTAGAAGAGTTGGGCTTCACATTTGGAACCTGGGACAATGAGGCAATAGGAGAAACACGAGCAGTGAAATAAAATGCGTGGCGACAGAATAGCAACATTATGCCAATGCGTATTTTTCAACCCCGTTCTATCGGAATTCCCAATCATCCCGTCTTACAATGAAGGCTGGCCAATTTATTTCATACCCATGGCCTGACCAAATTTAAAAGCATGATTATTACACTACGGTGCGTGAAGGTTCAAATTGTTTTCACGATTTATAGATGTCCTCACGAAGAGAGGCTTCTGCAATGGTCTGTAAACTTGCCAAAGTGTATGGTAATGTGGCAACATAATGGGTATGACTTGATGTAGAGAGAATGGTACTAAACACTGGTCTACATTGTGGGATGGGAAATCATGGCTGTGATACGGGATAACGGGAAACAGGAATAAAAACCCAGCAGCCTTCTACCCATGCAGCTCAGCCATTCATGCCTTATTTAGTTTTAGTGGGAGTGGAGGGTATGATCACTCTACCTTGCTGGATTCCTCCAGCTGCGTTCCTCTCTTCCAGGCTTCAGAGAAGATAGAACTCACAGAACTTCTAGTTTTTCCTCCCTCAAGTGCTGCTACTCCTGTGTCTGTCGCCATCCAAGTCAACGGCGCTACTATCACCTCTACCTCCTAGGCTCGCTGCCTAGGAGTTCTTTTTGATTCTGATCTCTCTTTTACTCCCCATGTTCAATCGATAACCAAATCCTGTCGTTTCCAACTCAAGAACATAGCGCGGCTAAGGTACTGGTTCATGCTGTTGTTCTCTCTCGCCTTGATTATTGCAATCCCCTTCTCACCGGTCTTACATGTTCCCAGCTTGCACCGCAGCAATCTATAATGAATACAGCTGCGAGGCTTATTTTCCTGTCCGGTCGCACCTCCCACGCCTCCACGCTCTGTCAGTCCCTGCATTGGCTTCCAGTTAGATATAGGGCCCAATTCAAAATTCTGGCGCTTGCTTACAAATCCCTACATAATTCTGCTCCAACATACCTATCCTCCATCATACACAAGTATGTCCCGTCGAGACCCCTGCGCTCAGCCCAAGACCTACTCCTATCCTCTGCCCGGATCCCCACCTCTGATGCTCGCCTTCAAGACTTCTCCAGGGCTGCACCTATTCTGTGGAACTCCCTTCCCTCCTCAATCAGACTTTCACCCAGCCTCCATTCCTTCAAAAAATCTTTGAAAACTCACTTCTTCATTAAAGCGTATCAATTAAACTGTTAGCAGGTTTCTCATCCCCCACCCCATGACTCCGTTCCTTAACCTGTCAAAAATGACCTACCAAGCACTCAATAAACCCTTCTGTAACAAACTATTTAATTCCCCTACTTTAACCCTTTGTGTCACTATACCCCACTCCCTCTAGCATGTAAGCTCATCGAGCAGGGCCCTCAACCCCCTCTGTTCCTGTACGTCAGTGGTCTGATCTCAATTATGTGTCTGTTAGTCCACCCATTGTACAGCGCTACGGAATTTGTTGGCGCTATATAAATAATAAAATAATAATAATCATAATGCTTTGAGAACGCATATGGCAGGAGGCTTGACTATCAGAAAGGTCGCTGTCTGACTGGTTGGAATGGTTCGATTGAGATTCTGTATGAGGAACACAAACAGTGGGATAACTCAAAATTTTTACAAAACATTCTAAGCAATCTTTTTTTCTGTAATAAGCACATTTTGTCATTGCCTTGGAAATCATGTCTAATTTCACGTCCTGTTGTTTTTTTGTAGTCAGACAAGTTTGTCATTAAACTCTGAATTTTAGCAGATCCCTCCTCCATTCATTAGCTGAGAGCGACTGCTGGCTGCTTTCAGCAAATGAATGTATTTCTACCATATGAATATGCACAGAACTGTCATCAGCCGGCACAGAACTCTTATCTTGGGCTGGTGAATGATGTCCCAATGATGCTGCTGGAGGTGGAGTTACACCTCTGATTACACCTCAGACACCAGAGGAGTTAAACGCCATATGAGCAGCATTTCAAATTAGTTTCCACGCACCATGACCACTTCAAATTACATAAAGGGACACTATTGTCACCAAAACAACTTTAGATTAACAAAGTAGTTTTGGTGTAGAGATTATGCCCCTGCAGTCTCATTGCTCAATTCTTTGCCATTTAGGAATCAAATCACTTTGTTTATGCAGCCCTAGGCACACCTCCCTGCATGTGACTTATACAGCCTACCTAAACACATCCTGTAAAGAGTCGTCTAATTCTTACCCTTCCATTACTGCAAATTATATTTAAATGTCATAGATATGTATATATTTGC